CCCCAGCCAGAGCGGCAGCTCAGCCACAGTCCTGCACCCCTCTTCCTGGCTCTGAGCTCATTTTTATCCGTTTGCTTGTATCCTGGAGAGCAGGACAGCATGGGGATAAGAGCTCAGACAACTCGGGTTTGATTCCTACCCCAGAACTACGTAGGACTTGCTAGGTGGGTGGTCACAGGCAGGTTACTCTCTGCATCTCTGTGTCCTTACTTGTAAAACCTTATAGAGATGTTTGTTGTGAAGACTGAACAGATTCACGTAGTGGAGGGTAAAGAACAAGGCCTGGCCTAGCCCTGGCTGGTAGCTCAGTTGGTGAGAGCATTGTTGGGGAGGTTTCGAGTTCCATCCCCAGTCATGGTTCATATAAGAATCAAACAATGAATTCATGACTAAGCAGAACAACAAGTCAGTATTTCTCTCCCCGCCTCTCTTTCTCTGTTTCACTCCCCCTCTCCCTTCTTGCCTCTCTCTCCCCCTTCCTCTCTCTCTCAAACCCTCAAATCAATAAAATAAACTTATTAAAAGTTTGTATTAAAAAAAACACAAAAAACAAAACAAGGCCTGGCTAATAGTAAGCTAGAAAACGTCAGCCATTTCTTTAACGCTGATCGCAACCAGGGTGACTTTGCCCTTAGGGGACATATGACAGCATCTTGGAGACATTCTTGTTTGTGTCCGTGAAAGAACGTCAAAGCCTGTAAAGAATTTTTATAAAAAATGTATCTAAGCCAAACAGAGTATATGCCTGGAAGCAAGATCCCAGCAGACAGAAAATGCTGCCCAGCCCTGGCGCCTTGGCTCAGTGGTTGGAGCATCGGCCCACGGACCAAGGGGTCACGGGTTCGATTCCCAGCCAAGAGCGCATACCTCGGTCACAGGTTCGTTCCAGCCCCTGTGAAGGAACATGTAGGAGGCAACCAATCAATGTGTCTCTCTCAAATCGATGTTTTTCTCTTTCTCCCCCTCCTCTAGCTCCCTTCCCCTCTCTAAAACAAAACAAAACAAAACAAAAACGCTTCCTAAATGGCAGTTTCTTTTATGCTTTTGGAACTAAGGAGGGAAGATTGCATGGAGGTGCGAGAAAGCAAGTGGGGATGGGGTTTAGGAGCGTTAGCAAGATGTGTTCTCACCCTGCCAGGCAGCTCTGCTGTTTGGAGCATTATCCCGACACTCCAAGGTTGTGGATTCGATCCCTGTCAGGGCACATATGTGAATTAATCAAGGATGCATCCATAGGTGGAACAAATGGGTGTTTCTCCCTTCCTCTCTCAGTCAATAAAGTTTTAAGATTATGTGTTCTCTTAGGGTGGCTTCCTCTGGGTGCGCAGAAACAGCAGACGGGGCTTGCTTGAGGCAAAGCTAAAGCGTTCACTGGAGAAGTTATTTGCCTGCGGCTTAACTTCCCCCATGACCTGTCCACTTAGGAATTTAGGATCAGATCTCCCGATGGGGTTATTTCCGTGGAACCCTGTGTTCGGCCACAGTTGTCACAACCAGGGGGGGCGGTGCTATTGGCATCTACATCGTGCACTGCTTAATGTTAGGAACATGCTCCGCATCCTTGGGCAGTTTCGTTGTGCGAATATCAAAGTGCACTTACAGAAGCCGAGGGGGACAGCCTTCCTCACACCCTGGCTCTGCAGGGGAGGAAAAGCAATTCTTCCTCTACCCTCTGGGTTCCTGGCTGAGACATCCTGTAAATAAATCAGATTAACAGGAGACAGACAACTTTAATGATGTGTATTTCCTGTATACATGGGAGAGACCCGGGAAAACTGCGTAACTCACCCCCACCTTAGAGACCATCTTCAGCGGAAGGCGGGAGGAGATGTGGGAGTGGGGGCCAGCGGCGGGAGGGTCCAGGAGAAGCTCCGTGAGGAGGTAAGGTTTCGATGCAGGTCTGAGTTCCGCACTGAGTTTCTGGCGGTAAGGCCGTCCCCAGTCCCTGGTGCAGATGGAGACTGCCCTTACACCTGCAAATGCGTTTTATAAAGGGGAGCGTCTACTGCGACATGAGCTTCTCCCATGTTCCTGTTTCTTAATGTGCACCAGCCTGAAATAATCCCCGGGCCAGATAGACACATTTAGAGGCGACACACACTTCCCCCACAGCTCCGGGGCTACACGACTGGAAGCATGTCACTGTACTGAACACTCCAGGTTTTTGTTACACAGTGGTATTTCTGTGATTCCAAGGACAATTGAATATTTTAGCTCTATTATACTCTTATGGGACCACTGTTGTATAGGGGTCTGTCGTTGACTGAACATGACTGTATTAGCCAGGGCCTGGGGTGCTGCTAAATATCCTGTACAATAGTCGGTTATCCAGTCCGAAGTGTCCGTAGAGCCCCAGGCTGAGAACCAGTGATCCGGGCCAGCAGGTGGAAACAGGGAAGGGAGGTCCTGTTCGCCCCTTAGCGTTCCTTTGAGCTGATGGGAGAACTGGGAAGGAGGGGAGAAAAGGAAGCTGGAGTGTTTTAAACCTTTGAATTCTTATTTTTGTTTACTTTTACCCCCACCCTGTAATGAGGATGCCATTTACATACATTGTCGTTGCTGCCTTCTGATCCATCCCTAGTAATAGTGGCTGATATTTATTGAAGGTTCCAGGCGCTCTGCCTGGTGCTTTACTTGCTATCCCACTTCATGTTCAGCCGGCACTTGAGGCAGGTATCATTGATGCCCCATTCTATGATAAGGAGACGGAGGCTCCGAGATGGGAAGGCTTTAAGCTGTCTAAAGTTTACCTCCTGGTCTTTCCCCAACACTGCTCCACTTGTGTCTCCCCCTTCTTGGTTGACAGGAACCCCCACCTTCAGCTCAGCCCACAGCCCTGAGAGTCACCATCACACCTCTCTCCTCACTCCTCACTGCCCCACCAGCCGTTCGATGTCCTGCCCACTCCGGCCCCGCTGCCCCCGCCTGCCTTTTGCCTGAACTTCTGCCACAGCCTCCTTGCTGGTCTCCCCACTTCTGCTCTCGCCCTTCAGACTCTTCTCCATTTTCATGGAGTGGCCTCGCTAAAACCCAAGTCATACCAGGCCACAGCAGCTGCCCTTTCTTAGGGGTCAAGGTCGGGTTCTCACAGAGGCCTTAGGCTGGGAACACGTCAAATGGGGCATGTAGGACAGCTGTCCCTGAGTCCCTGGACAGTCACGCCAGGAACACCGTCCCTTTGCTGTGCTCCCCTTAAAATCATGGATACCAGGCTCCTCTGCTCCTCAGAAGGGCCTGAGCCCTGTAGACCAACCATGTCAAACTCAAGGCCCGCCATGAATATTTTTGTGGCCCAGCCAATATAACGGCATGTAAGAAATGTTTTAATAAAAATTTCCTAACTTAATTTTGACAATATCCTGTTATACATAATTATTAATAATGAACTACACTGTTTGCTAATGACTGATGACTATAATCGTGTTGCAGTCATTTCCCTTACGCACTTTACACGCAGGCGCACCATTTCTCTCCACTAATCCTAGCAGCAAACATTTTAGCAGCCGATGGCCACACCGTTAGTCTCGGACTGACTTGTTTGGTGTGTGCAACAGGAAATATTTTGCTTTTGAAGAACAAGAAAATAGGTTTATTTGCATTACGATTACTAATTTGTGCATTTATTCAGGGTCTGGCAAGTTAATATTCAAGAAAAAATATTGATTTTTATTAAAATGTTCTATTATTTTATGTTAACGATTACTCATTTCAGTCCTTTGTAGTCAGCATGTCTCTATCGAAATAAGCCTACATTCCTATGAAAATGGAAGCTTTTGTTTTCCTGTGGCCCGCATACACTTACACCGCATTTATTTGGCCTTTGGGCTGACATGCTTGCTGTAGACAGTAGGAGGCCAATTGGCCATTGTGGTTGGTAAAGAGAGGAAAGCGCCTCAGAAGTGGGGGAAGGTGTCTCTTTTCATCTCGTTCTGAAGGAATGTGGGGAGTGGGTGAACGTTCCCCAGGGCCTTGGTATTTGGGAGCTTTGATATCCAGAGGAATAAAAGAGCAATTAGTCGCTCTAAATATCTGTTCCCACAGGGCAGTCTGAGGCCATCGGCAGTTGAAGGGATACAGGGATACAGCAGAACAGAGACCCAGAGGCAGAGACATGAAACCTCACTTTCTATGGAAAACACATCCCCCCCCCCCCCATCCCCCCCCCCCCCCCCCCCCCCCCCGTGCAGAAATTGTGAAGACACAGGGTTCCAAAGCTCCCTTGGGCCTGTACCTGCCCTGGGAACAGGTTTCTCAAAGGGTTTTCCTCGGACCCCTGTCCTCACTGCAAGGCTGAGCCGGGAGGCCACCTTGCACCCAGGTGGCAGCCCGAGGGCAAGTCTCCCTGGTGACCCCTGCCTGTCCCCCTGTGCCTCCCACCTGTCGGCCTTTCTTCTTGTCCCCATTTCTGTTAATGAACCTGCAAAGGGCCTGGGCAGTGAGTGGGGTGTGGGAGACGGACAAGAAGTCCGTGTTCTCTGATTCCTGGAAGAGGTGTGTTTGGCAGCGGTTTTGTGGCCAGGAGAGTAGGCTGTAAGTAGGTTGTTATTTGCAACTGTGTTGTATGTTAGTGTAGCTTCCTTAGACGGAGCACAGACACAGTGCACGCCGGGCACAGCGGAGCTGGAGCGCCAGGTGCTTTGGAGGTGCCCCTTCGTTTGCGGGTGTGGGCCTGGCCGGTCAGCTGCCCGGAGTGACTCACTCCTGTCCCAGCCCAGCTTCCATGGGACCCGGTGACTAACTCAGCGGGAGGAGGGTGTGTGCTGACCTGCTTTAGTGGGGAATGACAGCAGGCACAGTGCAGTCAGCACCTCATCCCAGAGGTGTTGGTGCAGGCCCCTGGGCTGGCCAGACACACAGGTATTTCTGGACGGCGGCAGAGCCGTTGCCATGAGCTTCCCGCCCGCGGCCCTGTATCTGTCAGCAGGGCGTGTGATCCAGGGTGGACTCGGCAGCCATTGGGGCCTCCTGGCTCCTCCCACGACCATGTTCTGTTTCCACAGGGCCGCACCTTCCTACTTCTCCCCGCGCAGCCCGCCGCCCCGCACAGCTGAGTGCCTGCTTGCCTGAAGTTCATTTCCAGAAGCAGGTAAGGACCGGGGAAGGGGGTCTGGGGATGTGGCTGTAGATCAGTGCTGGGCAGTGAGGGCATCTCATTCTCTTCCCCGCTGTCCCTAATAATGCTCATTCCTTAGAGGGTGGATCCTGCGGTGTGTGGCCCTGCTCGTTACTCCCAGGCTGTTAACATGTCGTGTCTGAAGTGATGTTTTATAGAAGCTCTACGAATAGCACAATTATATTGTAATATATTTGTATGCAAATGTAACGTACATTTCAAATGTGAGCATTTAAAATATATCACTTTTTAATTTTTAAATATATTTTTATTTATTTTATAGAGGAAGGGAGAGGGAGAGAGGATAGAAACATCAGTGATGAAAGTGAATGATTGATCGGCTGCCTCCTGCATGCCCCCTACTGGGGATTGAGCCTGCAACCCATGCATGTGCCCTTGACTGGAATCAAATTAGGGAACCTGCAGTTAGCAGGCTAGCACTCTATCCACTGAGCCAAACCAGGTAGGGCCATTTTTCATTTTTTTATTGAATCTATTGGGTGACACTGGTTAACAAAATTACACACACACACACACACACACACACACACAAAAAAAAAAATTACACAGATTTCAGGTGCACATCTGCAACTCATCGTCCATATGCTGTATTGTGTGTTCACCATCCCAGCTCAGGTTAACGTGTCACATTTTTTAATGGACAAAAGACACGTGCTGGGACCCGTGGAGCAGAGGCGGCTTGTGTATCTAAAGGAGCCCCTGCTGGCTGGCCCAGCCTGAGTTCCCCAGGGTTCTCCTCGCAGGGACAAGATCACCGGGCATAAATGTGTATTTCAGTTTATATAAGTGTGGGTGTTCACGCAGCATTAGCTTCACTTTGTAAATACAAATGCGTGCAGGTAGCTGTGTGTATTCAGGGCCACACGTGCCTGCCGCGCGCACCACCCAGCAGCCCGCTCACCCGGTTCCCCAGCACCACCTCCCAACTCCTCTAAAGAGAGACCAGCTGCTTTGTGCTTGATCGTGCTGGCAGAGATTGGCTCCCGAGCGCAGTGTGGCCTCTCAGACCGCGGCCCCACTTGTCACTTCGCATCCTTCCCTGTGCCTGGGAGCCCTTCCTCATGGTCCATTACCAGCCAGCCTTCCTTCAACGGAGATGCGGGCTCAGAGCCAACAGGAGTGTGTGTGTGTGTGTGTGTGTTGGGAGGGAGGGGATAAGGGGCATGAATATGCCTGTATGTCTGCAGCGAATGTGTGTGCCTCAGTTTCTGCTCATTGCGTTTGTCCCAATCAGATGTAATTTTCTGGAATCACCTCCACTTTTATCTACGGTTTGATATATAGCCTCAGGCCGCTTCCTCGCTATTTATGTGGGTAGTTGATAGTTGTTTATCTCCATGTTCTATTCTTCAGCTCATCTGTGCCTTCCCTGGTTAGCTTCCAGAAGGTTATATCTCTAAGAGAAGGAGCAAGGCTGTCTCTGATTGGGCAGTTCACAGAGATTTTCTTAGGATTTAGAAGGGAAATCCTACCCTGTTAGGTGAGGATTATGGGCTAGCTGGGAAACCATAAGTGAGAAGCACCATTACATGGGCCCCTCATGGCTGAGCCACAGAATGAATAAGTGGTGTCTAAATTAGCTGCATTTTAATGGAGACCAGTTCTTTATCCCTACAGGAGAGAATCGGAGATCTAAATGAAGCTAATCTGATGTTTGTCAGAATTTGCAATGAAAATCTAACAGCGTGTTTGCGTAGATCGGCACCAAATTCAAACATACTTTAATACCTTGCAGCATACCAACGACTGCAATGTCTGTTGTTTGGGTGATTATGGCCTGCTCTCTTCAATTATTCATTTGCTTCTCACTGACACCATGCTGCAGATTTTGTTTGGAAATTGTTGAACCAGTTGTGAAGGCCTAGGCTGCTTAGATGGGAGCGTAAAGGGCGGAAATGTGTGCTCATTGGCCACCTTCTGCCCCAGATCCAGCCCCGGGTGTGCCCTCTGTCAGGAGGCAGGGCGAGATCAGCTCATACAAGAACTGGAAGGATCTGGGAGATGGTAATTTTTAGAAATAACAGGAATCTTCTTCCCCCGAAGCAAGAAGAAGCAGGTAAGAACCAGTCTCTGCTGGGGAAGTGTGCTGACTTGAGTAACCTGGCCCCAAAGACAGATTCAGGCACCCGACACCCTGTAAGGCCCCCACTTAGGAATCACTGCATGAGTGCAGGAGGTCCTTGGGACAGGCCACAGGGGTGGAAGATGATGGGACACCTGGGGAATGGGGTGCCTGGGATCAGAGAGTAGGACAGAGCAAAATTCTGAAAAATACCCCCCCTCTTCCTCTCTCTCTCTCTCTCTCTCTCTCTCTCTCTCTCTCTCTCTCTCTCTCTTTCTCTCTTTCACACACACACACACACACACACACACACACACACACACACTCCTGTTGGCTCGGAGCCTGCATCTCTGTTGAGGAAGCGTGGCATGGCTATCAGGAAGGGACAGTGAGGAGGGGGCTCCCACGCTGTGAGGCAGGACCCTCAGCCCCTGGGAAGTGCAGCATCCAGAGGAACTGGCCCGGATGAACCGCTAGATCAGCACAGCGGCAGGATCAGTGTGTGGGCTCGAGCCTGGTGGGCACGGGGCTTTGGGGCCGGCTTGTGGCCCTGGAACCCTGGTTCTTTTGTGTGTGGCGACATCTAGTGGCCAGTCACGTGTCTTCCACGCTGCCTTTCACAAGGAGAGCGCAGACTGACCACATTAGCCCCGGGACACGGGACCGGATTGGAGATTTAATCCTGGGAGCCTGACTCCCTGTTTGGAGGAACTGGGAGCATTTCAGATGTCCCCAGAGAACACCACAGGCCGTAGCGCGCCAGCTGCTCAGGAATAAGAGTCCTTGGGGAAAGCTCAGCCTGGTTCTGAGGCTGGATTGGTACTCGGGCCTCTTTCAACATGATGACATTTGGCCCTAATTGGTGTGGGTATTAGAGGAATGGGGAAGCTTGGACACCGCAGGCTGGTCTCCACGCTGCATCCAGCCACTGGGCTGTATTCCTCCAGCTCCTCCCGGCACGGTGCTGGGTGCAGGAAGACAGGGAGCAAAGCTGGGAAGCCAGGTGGGAAGAGACGAAAGCAAGTGCTCCAGCAGGTGCTTTCGGAAACCGGGACAGCCGGGGCCACAGGACCGTGAGGGCCGGGGTCGGGGCGCAGACCCTGCTTCAGCTGTGCTGCCAGGAAAGGCTGGGGAGGCGGCTGGGAGTGAGACGGAGGATGCAAGGAATCCAGGGTAGGCCCAGGGGGCACTCGGTGCAAAGGCTGCTGGGGAAAAGGGCTTCTTGGCATGTTCTAGAACCAGACTGGGGCCAGGAAGGCAGAGCGGCAAGGGGAGGAGGAGGAAGGGGCCGGGCCGCCTGTGCAGGCCTCCTGGGGTTCTGGCAAAGGCTGTGGTGTTGGGGAGTGGTGTCATCTGTCCGGCTTTTTTGTAAAGACCATTGGGGGGGGGGGGGGGGGGAGTGGAAGGCAGTGAGAAGGGTCAGTGTGAGAAGTGAAACCCGGAACCCAGCTCAGCTGTGCTGGGACGTTAGGGTTGCCCGCTGCACTCTGCACACCTGGTTTGGGGGTGCGGGGGCTGCCTCTCATCAGAGACCATTCTTGAGGCGCCTTACCGATCTTTCCCAGGGACCCGCTGTTAGACCCTCTCCGGGGGAGGGAGGAGGCGGGTGGACAGTTGACTTGGGAGCCTGGGGCTTCAGTGCAGCAGGGAAGGCCCTGAAGGGGAACCACAGGCTTATGGCCGCTACCTAAACCCCGCTGGCCAGCCTTCGGCCTGTGGCGTGGGCGTTAGGGCCAGGGCCTCTGCTGGGTTACGGGGACCGAGCAGTGACGGGGATGTCCAGGGAAGCTGTGTGCAGGCGCTGGCACATCGCTGAGGCACCCTTTGCACAGAGAGCCGCCTCCCAGGAGGTCACCCTGCCTGGGAGCGCCTGCTGGTCCAGGGCTGGCCACCCGAGGGATGGGTGGATGGTGCGAGGAGTGCTCTTGGCCCGCCCGCTCAATTCCCCTGGTCTCCCAGCGCAGCTCCTGCCACCAGGCTGCCAGGGCACCTCCCCCACCAGCTGCCGCGTTATTTCTGACTCATCCAGGAGTTACAGATCTGTAATCCAACCCCTCCAGCCTGGCTTCCTCTCCACTGGCTCCTCCCCCAGGGAAACCCCGGGACTTCTCTCCTGGGACCTTCCTGCAGGTCGGGTCCCATTGCACCTGGACACAGCTGCTGCCTGCAGGAGCTGCCTGGCACAGGCGGGGTGGGCCTGTGAGGGTGGCAGTGAGCCTGGGTCCGGTGCCCCAGAGCCCCGGCCGCCTGTCCCCATCGAGGGCCGGAGTTGGCCTCTGATCCCGGCAGGGGCTTGGCCTGAGAGCGGCCTTGGGGTTTGGGACTGGTGCTGATCCCACAGCTCCTCCAGCGAAGGCCTAGCCAGCTGCCTCTGACCGTGACCCTCCCGCTTCCGGGGGAGTTGCTTGCTTTGAAAGCCTGGGACGCTGTGGGGGCATGTAGCCCCTCTCTCGTGGCGGAAGGCAGAGCTGGCCAGGAGTCTGGGTTACCTCGGTCTCCCTGGGCTGAGCTCTGCCCACCGCTGGGCTAGTGGGTCTCAGGAGAACAGGCAACTTCCCACCTGCTCTGGACTCAGAAACAAGTCCCTGCAGCGAGGTGGGCTGCCGGACACTCCCAGGAAGCTCCCTGCCTCTCTGGGCAGTCTCGTCCTGACCCCCGTGCTTCTCGCTCCGCAGCCGTCCCCAGAGCTGGCCCGGGGATGAACCGCGAGGGGGCTCCCGGGAAGAGTCCGGAGGAGATGTACATCCAGCAGAAGGTGCGGGTGCTGCTCATGCTGAGGAAGATGGGATCCAACGTGAGTGCCCTGGGCCGAGCAGCGCTGTCGCTCCCGCCTGGAGCCGCGGGGTCGGGGAGGGGATGCTGAGCCTGTGGTTTGGCTCCGTGGCTGGTCAGGTGGCGCTGAGTCTGGGGAGTGCAGTTCCAGGGCGCTGCTGGGCATCCTCCCACCTCTGGGTTAGGTGGGTGAGTCTTCTCTCCCAGGGGATGTCCAGGGGCACTGACGGCACAGGCCGAAGAGGGCAGCGCTTCCCAGTGGCCCTGTGCTGCCCTCAAGTCCGGCCTCCGGTCTGCTCTGCGTGGCCAGGCCCCGTTTCAGGGCGGCAGGAGGGCTTGCTCTGGAACTGAAGAGTCAAACCTCCAAGGAGCAAAGGAGGTGGCACCTCATGGGCACCAAGCAGGCCTGGCAGGTGCCTTCAGAAGCGACGGTCGCCCTCACCTGCCGCTCTCCCTTGCAGCTGACGGCCAGCGAGGAGGAGTTCCTGCGCACCTACGCGGGCGTGGTCAACAGCCAGCTGAGCCAGCTGCCACAGCACTCCATCGACCAGGGTGAGTGAGCCGGGCCACCCCTCCCCGGGGCACCCAGTGACAGCACAGCTGCAGCCCTCCCGGGGCGGGGGTGGGGGGTGTCCGTGAGAGACAGGAGGGGCCACAGTCCCTCCCCTCCACAGAGCTGAGCCCCAGGCAGAGCCGCGCCTGGCCACGGAGCCCTGGGGGCCCTGCCTGGCCCCAGCCTGCCAGGACCCTTTCTAGGCCTGGGGGAGGCAAGCTGTGGAGGTGTCCGGGCCCCTGTCACTGCAGACGCTCTGATTGCTGCATTCCTCAACTTCGGCCTGACCCCTGCCCACCCAGCCCCCTGCCAGGGGGAGTGACACTGTCCTTGTGTGCCAGGGCCTGGCCTGGGTGCGGCCTGCACAGTGGTGGTGTGTTCCTGGCTGTGCCCAGAGGGGAGGCCCAAAGGCTCTGGCAGTCTCTGTGTGCCCCCGGAGTTAATTCTTTTTTGAGTGCCATCAGCTAATCTCATAACGGTAGTGGGTGGCATTTGAGTATATTGTCTAGTAGGCGCGTGCTAAGTGCCTGATAAGTGTCATTGGAGTGGAGATCGCTACTCTTTGTGTTACTTCCACTTAACCGGCAAGGACACAGTTCCTGCCCTGGCTCAGGCAGCCACTTACCAGGGGCCCGGGTGCAGGCCTGCCGCCGATTCTTAACTGGGTGCTGGATTCGCCTCCGTCTGCCCGGGGCAGCAGGAGGCTACTGGGCGCTTGCGGGCTCCTCCTTTCTGGAAGCTTTATGCGACCCTGTAGCCCAGTCTCCCACCAGCGCCTCCTCCCAGTTATGTTTTTTTCCTTGTTGCACTAGTTTGAATTATTTGCCGTGAAATAGTGTGGCACGTCCGATGCGAGGGGCTGCATGAGCAGCGTGCTGAGGGGCTGGCGCACGGCGGCTGCTCTTGGACTTGCCCTTGTCCTCCCGGATGTCACAGGGCCCTGCCCTGGCTCAGGGCCCAGCTTCCAAGCTCTGACGCTGGGTGTGACCCGACCTGTGCGCCCAGCTCAGCAGAAACGTACAGGACGCCTAGCCACTCGAGGGCCACACGCACAGGGCAGCCTGTCGGGGACCGCCTCCCCTGAAGGGGACCCGGGTGTGGAGTCTGCCCTGCCTCCTGGGGTACGCTTTCTGGAGCGCTCGCCTCTTCCAGGCTGACGGGGTTTCCAGCACAGGCCCCTGTCCCCGTGCGGAACCACATCTACCCGAAACCCACACGTTTCTGAGTCCCTTGGCCTTACCTGCTTCCCACCCTGGTCTTGGCTCAGAGTGAGCCTGAATGTGAGGGGGGTGGTAAGAATGCCTCTGGTAGGATGTTCTTACTGGAAAAATCAAGAAGAGCTGTAGAACTGTGTCAGTATAGAAAACAACACACCCGTCTCTCCCCCCACACCATGCATGTATAGAAAAAAAGGCTGAAATAAAACACACCAGGCCTGGCCGGTGTGGTTCAATAGTTGAGCATCAACCCATGAACCAGGAGGTCATGATTTGATTCCCCATCAAGGCACCTGCCCCAGTTATGGACTTGATCCCCAGTAGGGGGGATGCAGGAGGCAGCCAATCAATGATTCTTATCATTGATGCTTCTATCTCTTTCTCCCTCTCCCTTCCTCTCTCTGAAAACAATGCAAACTTTTTTTTTCTTTTCTTTTTTTCTTTTTTTAGAAAACACACTAGGCTGCTAATAGAAAATTTTGTCAGAGGGTAAAACTATATAAGGGACTTCCGCTTTCCAAGTCACACGTTTTTGTAATGCTAATTCTTTAACGTGACCCGCACATTTCATTGGTAACGAGGGGAGTTTAAAGAAGTGTTTTTATGGGAACTCTTCACCTCGCCCAGCTAACCCAACAATTGAGAATAAAGTGAGCTCTGCCGAGTCGCTTAAGGAGATCACGGTGACCTTACCTGGCCCAAAACTGCCGAGCAGCCAGGAGTGAGTCAGAGGTGTGTGGTGTGACCACATGGGCCCAGAGCCTGGCCCTCTGAGTGCGGGCCGTCCGCCCCTCCAGGCTGGCCTCAGCGCCTCTCTCCGGGAAGCTGGCTCCTGGCGCTGAGCCTGGAGCCAGGGGAACCTCGGGGAGGCTGGTGGCGGGCATGGCTCTCTGCTGCCAGGTGCCCTGCGGGTGGCCCTCACCACCACGGTCACTCTGACCGGAGCCTCCGGGAAGGCATGCGCTACAGCACATGTGTCAAACACAAGGCCCGCGGGCCAAATCCGTCCCGCCAGGCCTTGCAATGTGGCCCGCACCGTGCTGTCATCACTGCACTCGGCTGCGTTTCCATCACAATGACAGTTTATGACTGTTCAGTAAACCATTCGGCCCGCGATTTAGGCTGGATTTTAGATTTTGGCCCCTTCTCTGATTGAGTTCGACACCCCTACACTACAGAAAGCCCAAGGACTCCAGGGCCTGAGGTGGAGAGGGGAGGGTAGCTGTGCCTGGAAGAGCCTCACAGCATGCTGTTACTTCTCAGGACACGGCGAACACACACACACACACACACACACTGCAGCCAAGCAGCAACCGGCCCAGTCCCTCCTGCCGTGCAGGGACGAGCCTGAGAGCGGGACCTTACCTTTCTGCCCTCCCCCTGGCGCCACACGGCTGTCGGCTAAAATTCTAGTCTGCCTGCCTTCTCCTAGGGCAGAGCCGACCTCAGTTGATGCCACGGGGTATGCTGCTGTCAGAGGCTCCGGTGCTGCCCGGGTGGCGGAAGCCTGGCTCACTGCTTCCTGTGCAGGGGCCCCAGCATGAAAGACCCCCAGAGGCCTAGGAGCAGAAGCCTGGTGTGAGTGCCTCCTGCCACCAGGTGGCACTGTCTCTCAGCAAATGCCCCTTGCTCCCTCCTGGGTGTCTGCAGCCTCTTACTGTTCCAGCTCCCCTAGGTAGGGGGCCCAAGATCACCCCACCAATGGATCTGTGCTCAGCATTAGTCCTGGGGTCCTGCCCACAATCTTTAGGCTCACAAACACTTCCCCTCTGCAGCTGGAGGGGGCTGGTACCCAGGGCGCTGCTTGCCCTCCCTAGACCCAGGGAGGAGAGTGAGCTGGGCATTCTCTGCCCACACTGTAATCTGGCGCCTCGTGCTGCACCCAGGCCTCCCAGCCTGCCCCATTCCCACTCTCCCCCTGGTGAACTTGTATCCAGCATCAGGCAGGTGCTGGAGACCCTGGAGCGTGGGCCCGCCCCCAAGAGCTCACTAAATGGTTCCGGCAGAGGGTCCCAGTGGCCCCCAGTACTGGACTGAACAGTGGACATGCCTGGCCTCTGCTGGTCTGAGCCTGAGAGTGGAGAGGTGGCTGAGGCAGCCTGGGTGTCCCATGGGCAGCCCGCACTCAGAGGCCCAGATTCCGGGCCTATATGGTCACACCCACACATCTGTGACTACTCAGCAGTTTCTGCAAGGTGAGGTCACCATGATCCTTCTAGAAACCCCGCTTTTCCTCCTGTCTTCCATGATATACACCTCTCTCCCCCTCCCCCAGGTTTCTACCTCTCTGCTCATCCCCTTGTGAATGCCCTCCTTCCCTTTGTTATGCTGGTCTTCTCCGGATTCAGTCCTTTCAGCTCTCAGTCTCATACCTTCTCTTTGGAAGTCACATATGCTACGGTGACTTCCACAGACATGCGCCCTCAGTGCAGACCCTGCTGCTGACCCGACAGTACGCAGCTCCTCCTGACCCTTTCACCCCAGAGGTCCCACACTCCACAGGCCCAGATTCATACACACACACACACACACACACACACACCCTCCCCCCGTCCTCGGCCGTGACCGATGTGTCCTCCTCTCTTCCCCAAGTGTCTCGAACGTCACCAGCAGCTTTAATGCTGCTCCGATCTGCTTCATCTTCTCCACCTTGGTTTGAACCCCCTTTGGTCTGAGCCTGTATTAATTCTCGTCTTAATTATTGCAAAAGCTCCTCGTTGGCACCTTGACATCTCACTTGCCCCCCACAGTGCATTTTCTACCCCCTGGCCAGAGGGATTTTTGAAGACCATGTCAGCAGCTCCCCACACACACTTAAAACCTTTCAGTGACTCTACTGCCTGAAGTTCAAGTCCAGCCCCCTTGGCATGACGAGCAAGACCCCTGCCAGCTGCAACACCATGACCTTATGCAGCGTCAGCAGTCCCAGGGAATGGCTCTCAGCTCCTGTCTCAGGCCATGGGTGTTCACACATTTCTGCTCTGCATTTGCTCTTGGAGCCCAGGAGCCCAGGAGCCTGGCCCTGACCACCCTCTCCCTCCCGCCTCCCGCAGGCCAGGCCCTGACCACCCTCTCCCTCCCGCCTCCCGCAGGCCAGGCCCTGACCACCCTCTCCCTCCCGCCTCCCGCAGGCCAGGCCCTGACCACCCTCTCCCTCCCGCCTCTCACAGGCCAGGCCCTGACCACCCTCTCCCTCCCGCCTCCCGCAGGCCAGGCCCTGACCACCCTCTCCCTCCCGCCTCCCGCAGGCCAGGCCCTGACCACCCTCTCCCTCCCGCCTCCCGCAGGCCAGGCCCTGACCACCCTCTCCCTCCCGCCTCCCGCAGGCCAGGCCCTGACCACCCTCCCTCCCGCCTCTCACAGGCCAGGCCCTGACCACCCTCTCCCTCCCGCAGGCCAGGCCCTGACCACCCTCTCCCTCCCGCAGGTCAGGCCCTGACCACCCTCCCTCCCGCCTCCCGAGGGCCAGGCCCTCATTGGCCACTCCCCCTCCTGTGATTTCCATCACACGTTCACACTGTTTTCTGGTCTGCCTCCCGACCAGCTCTGAGTTCCCTGAGCCTGGGACAGTGGCTTCCCTTCCTGTGTTTGTGGGGCTGGGAGCCTGCAGGCCCTGCGGAAGGCAGAGACATGGAGCTAGTTCTCTGAGCACCGTCTCCGGGCCCCTGAGGGTGGCCGGGAGGACCTGACAGCCTGACTGTGAACCAGAGGAAATCAATGCTTCTCTGGGAAGGTCGCCTTGCTGAGACGGTGCAGCTGCAGCTTCCAGAGCAGGCGGGACAGAATGCTGAGCTCACTCCTTTCTGATTGCCGGGCCGCTCCCGAGCACACGCCGACCCCTCTCCTGGCTATAAAGTAACAAGCCGTCAGTGCAGGAGACCAGGAAGGACAGAAACAGCATGAAGGCTTGAATCCTGTTACATAGCTATTATCACTTTACCTTTCGTTAAATTTCCTCTCAGCCTTTTAAAAATAGGCATCTATTTCCACCATAAAGTTGGGACCTTACACTGTAAACATTTTACTGTCCATTTGAACATCCAGGTTTTTTTTAACTTATGATCCTTTTACAATGTTTTAAACAATTTTTAAGAAAACATTTTAGCAATTGCATAATATGCAGCCATATGGCTGTGCCCCACTTTTTGACCGATGCTTTATTGGGGGACATTTGTTTCTCATTTTTGCTGTTAATCACAACAGCAAACACTTACTGAAGTCCTCCTCCAGCCTGGTTTCTTGTTGAGGGTTTTCCCAGAAGCCTCTTCACCTTCAAAAAGAGACAGTGGCTGCAGAGGTTAAGTAACGAGTCCGAGGCCGCAGAGCTGGTCAGCAGGTCCAGGGTGTGCCACGCGTTGACTATCCTGTATGAATCTTCAGTTATTTTAAGAGAATCTAGGAGTGGCTTACAGGCCCTAAGCGTTTCCAAGCAGGGCAGTGTTTACCTGAGAAACAGGTGTGACTTGGCAGTTACCGTGGCATCTCAGGAGGGCACAGGAAACACTGGGACGAGTTTTCCATTGCTTCATTATCCCGGGCCCTGCAGGCCTCTGAATGTATGGTTCTTGAGAGCTCCAGTCTCTTCCTTCCCATCCCAGGCCCCCGTGCACAGGGCAGAGGGCCCATCGTGCAGAGCTGGCATCCTGGTGCAGTGCCTCGTATGGCCCGTGCCCAGGTGTCTGGGGGCTGGAGGGACCCCAGTTTGCTAAGGAAGCTCTTGTCCTTCTCTTCTCTTCCCTCTCCTCGGCCTGGGAGCTGTGGTGCAGGCTCAGTGGCGCCTCACGCCTGATCCAGCCTCATCGGATCGCACTCTTCCTGCAAGAGACTTCCCAGGGAGGTCCCCAGCTGGAGCCTCTAGGCCAGGGGTCTTCAAACTTCTCTCATTATGAGAATCACCTGGTGGAGGTGTTAAAACACAGATTCCTGATAGCACTTCTTATAGTTGGGATCCGGGAATCTGTGTTTTAACAACTCCACCAGGTGATTCTCATAATGAGAGAAGTTTGAAGACCCCTGCTTCTAGGCTGTCCCAGGCTCTGCTGGCTCCTGCCCTCAGAAGCCAAGGTCATTTGATCTCAGGGTCACACGGAACCCGGGTAAAGGAGCTGTGGCCACGGTCACGGTCTCGGGCAACAGCAAAGAGCCAGCAGCCCTGAGGGAGTGGCCCACCCCTCGCACAGCACTTTGCATTCGGTCACCCCCCTTGGCCGTCTCAGCAGTGTCAGTGGAGGTGCTGACACCATCTCCATCTTACAGCCAGCGTATTCCTGGACTTCTCGCACTCCTTCCCGCCTCTGCTCTCTCACCTCCTCCATGCAGCCCTCCCTGCTCTCTCACCTCCTCCATGCAGCCCTCCCTGCCCCATTCAGGTGGTCGCTGCTCCTCTTGCTCCTGAGCCGAGTCTCCCTGATCACACTGTGCCGGGACCCAGCCAGTGCAGTGCTATGCGCAGCCCCAGTCCAGCTTCCGGCTACCGCTGGACTCTGCTGGATCCTTGTGTGGACCGGGGCTGCTCCCAGAGGCGCTGGCGGTAACAAGCTCAGGGCTGAAATTACAGTCAGGCCCCGGGAGGACTTACTCTATGGATGGGAAGCTAATCTATTTTAACTTTAATCAACGCTTACGTGAGAATTACCTGTGACCTAATAACAATGTAATTGAACCCAAAAAAATTACATATACATTGAATCCAACTGAAAAATCAACCAGAGGGACTTGGTAACTTGTGTTACAGAAAAATAAAAATCCAAGAAAGGGTAAGGAATGTGCTGAAACGCAGGCCAGCTGCTCAGTTCCGCATTCTGGTTCCGGCGGCAAAGGCTGCTTTGGCTCCCTTTGCAGTGCGGGGCCTATTGTTGAGAGCGAGAACGACGTCTTGTGCGACTCTAATCAGCCCCCAGGCGCCCCCTAAGAGGTGACCTCTGCCTTGGACCAGAGCCCCAAGGGGCCATGGGGCCCTCTGCTCACGTCAGCCCACGGACCTGTGTGCCGGGCACGTGCCATCGGACAGCCCGCCCTCGAGCTGCCGGTCCGGCAGGGCGGACACAAGGGCACGTGTGTAAAGAACTTGGGCGCACAGATCGCAGGATGACCAGTCCCGAGAGAAGGGCACCTCACTAGGAAGCCACGGAGAAGAGGCATGGGAGTGTGCATGGAGACTACGGGAGGATGTCACAGGCCAGGGGGCTCCGGAACCTGCCCGTGTGCGAGTGTTGAGTGTCTACATGTCCCCTCAGAGCCCGGCGTGGCAGATGCCGGGAGGGTGGGGAGTGGCCAGAAAGACAAATGGGCTCGGGACGGAGTTTATTCTGAAGACTGCAAGGGGTCCCCACGGCCTGAAGGGGAGCTGCCAGGTCAGCTGTCATCCATTTAGGGTGAGCGCTGGGGAGAGGTCACGGGGCAGAAGGCGAGGCAGGGAGACAGCTGGAAGGTCACTGCGATGGCCGGTGCAAAGTGATGTGGGACATTTAGGACCGAGAACCTGCAGGCTGGTGAGCAGGTGCGGATGGGATCTGAGACCGAGGTTCTGGTGGATGAGACAGGGAGGGGAGCTCTGAGTGGGCGGGGCCTGTGGGTGTCCAGGAGGAATGGGAGCGAGGTCCGTGAGCAGGTGCAAGGTGGGAGCAGATGGAGGACTGGGCTTGGGGGAGGGGCCTGGAGTAGAGCAGGTGGGTGGGGGGAGGGGTCTGGAGTAGAGCAGGTGGGCTGGGGGAGGGGTGTGGAGTAGAGCAGGTGGGCTGGGGGAGGGGTGTGGAGTAGAGCAGGTGGGCTTGGGGGAGGGGTCTGGAGTAGAGCAGGTGGGCTGGGGGAGGGGCCTGGAGTAGAGCAGGTGGGCTGGGGGAGGGGTGTGGAGTAGAGCAGGTGGGCTGGGGGAGGGGTGTGGACTAGAGCAGGTGGGCGGGGGGAGGGGTGTGGACTAGAGCAGGTGAGCTGGGGGAGGGGTCTGGTCTAGAGCAGGTGGGCTGGGGGAGGGGTCTGGAGTAGAGCAGGTGGGCTGGGGGAGGGGTGTGGAGTAGAGCAGGTGGGCGGGGGGAGGGGTCTGGAGTAGAGCAGGTGGGCGGGGGGAGGGGTCTGGACTAGAGCAGGTGGGCGGGGGGAGGGGTCTGGTCTAGAGCAGGTGGGCTGGGGGAGGGGTCTGGAGTAGAGCAGGTGGGCGGGGGGAGGGGTCTGGTCTAGAGCAGGTGGGCTGGGGGAGGGGTCTGGAGTAGAGCAGGTGGGCGGGGGAGGGGTCTGGACTGAAGAGCTGGTGTGTAGAACCCAACTTGTGACCTCACAGATTCTGCCTGTGGTGCCGTGTGTGGACGTGGTGCTGGTGCTCGGGGAGGAGGTGTGGTGCTTCCGGTTTGGCAGATGAAGACCACGGGAGTGGGTGTGCAGGCGCTTACCCTGCCGCACAGAGTAGGCCAGGTCAGCCCAGAGCTGGGCTCCAGGGTCCCAGCGCCCACAGAGGCTGCTCAGGCCCAAGCAGGGCCCTCAGTGGCTGGTCAGGAGGCCCCGCCCCTGCTGGGCCCGCTGCATGCTCCCCCGGGTGCCCCTTGTCCTGGCAGCCTGGGAGCCTGGTGAGCGGTTGTCAGCTGGGAGCACAAGCTTGGAGCCCACTTTGGCTGCTGACTCCTTGGTGGATCCGGGCTGCTGTCCCCATGGCAACCCGTGTCTTGCTAGCTCTGGGTAAAGCCATCCCCTGGGAACTTTGGGCATCAGAGCTGAGACTAGAACCGGGCTCCTGGGCCGCAGCTGTAAACAGGCAGTGCCACCCAGTGGGCGGCGTTTGTCTGGGAGGAGCCTCGTCCCCCGTGGACACTTCCCCCTGGAGGAGCAGTGAGGCCTGGGTGTCCAGGAGCTTGCTGCCTGGCTCCTCTCTGCAGAGCCGGTAGCTGAGCTGCAGCCGTGCTGAGGAGCGGGTGGCAGGCTCTAGCTGGTGTTGAGAGCAGTACAATGAGGTCATTGGGTGAAGAGGCGCCACCACCAGAAGCCATACGGGCAAAGAAGGGGACAGAGGGGAGGCGCGTGGCTGAGTTTCCTCTTTGGCCGGTGTCCGTGACTGTGGGGGCAGGGGGGTTCCCTGGAGGGCTTGGCAGCATCAGCCAAAGGGGGGACACGGAGGGTCCCCCCACCCCCCCTCCTCGCCCCCCGCAGCGTGGGAATGTGGAGACTGGGGCTTCCGTTTGTATTTCTGAGTTTCTTAGGCCCCACTACAAGCATGTCGAACTCAAAGGCTAACACAGGCCAAGTAAGGCTGAAGTTTATGTGGGCCGCAAAAAACAAAAGCTTCCGTTTTCATAGAAATTAGGTTTATTAGGAAAGTATGGTGTCAGAAGAGACAAGAGCGATGATGAGGTGCATGTTCTCTTCCTGACACACGGCACCTCCGCTGCTGCTGTCTCCCCCACTCCGGGGAGCCTTGTTCGCAGTGACTCCTTTCCAGACCGACCCACGGCGGATGTCAGTGACTCTGGATCTGACAGGAGACTTATTTCCTTTCATGATTGTAATAACTGCTCACACCGTTATACTGGCTGGGACACAAAAATATTCATTGTGGGCCACGAGTTTGACATGCTGCCCCAGTGGTTACCGCATTGGGAAGGTGTTAGGCCCCTGCGAGGTCAGGAGGCCCCTGCCCAGCACCCCTGGCCCTGAGGAGCCCTGGGGAGCCCTGCAGGCAGGGGTGCGGGTGTCAGAGGCCCCTGTCCCCGGAGTGCATGGCCGGGGAGCTGGGCCTGGAGGAGCCCGTGGCTCCAAATCGGGTGATGTGGGCGCCCCCACCCACGGCTGATGCCGCTTCTGGGAGCAGCCCTTCTCTCCGGTGCCATCTTACAGGGCTGTGTCCTGGTCGGTGGGCCCGGGCTGGCCTCCTTTGGAGCTGAACCAGTAACAACGTGTCCTGAGAGGGCCCTGTTCTGACAGTTCCGGACACAGACTGAGGTGCCCAGTGCATCGATGGAAAGACCTTTGAAGGGCTTCAACTCAGAGCCTCAGCTGTCTGAGTGCTGGGGGCTTCCTCCAGCCGCCCTCCTCCTGGGCCAGCGCCTGCGGAGAGCCGGGCTGCCCGATGGCCACGGCAGCTTCCTGCGGTCAGCTGGGCCCGGGCCGGGCTGGTGCTGGGTGCGAGCCGGGCCTGGGCTCTCAGTGCTGCTGCTGTGAATTCCTGCTGAGCCTGAAACAGACCAGCTACCCATTGTCTGTCTCCTGCCCCCACTCAGGGCCAGCCTCCCTTCCACAAGCTCCTGCATATTTGTCATTTTCTCTCCCCAGTCACTGACTGGACTCTGTGCAAGGGGCAAAGCTGGCACTGGGCGTGGGCTGAGATTTCCCACGCGTGCCCTGCCCTAGTGCAGGGCTGTGCCCTCCGCAGTGCCTGGGCCTGCTTTCCAGAGCAGGTGAGCCTGGGACGGGGAGTGTCTGGCAGGCAGCGGAGGGGAGGGGAGGCAGGGGACAGGTGTCGGGGGCAGGGCTACTCCCAGGGCGGCATTCTGGGTTCCATGCTGAATTTTCTCCAAGGGGCGAGGGCTGCTTTGATGTTGTTTGGTTCCATTCTCTTTGTAATTCCATTCACATGTAATTATTTTGTGTTGCTCTTTTCAGTTTGCTAGGTGTTTTTTTTTTTAGTATTTTTGCATAGCACAGGTAAGATGACTATCTATGGCCATATGAGATCCTGGCCTGCGGTTCTCTTTTCCTTTTGCTGTCTTTGTCTGGCTCTGGCTCTTTGTCCTGGTGGGAAGGGACGAACAGAGCTCTGAGCCCGGCCCAGACAGTGTTGGCAGAAGAGCCGAGGCGGTGGACGCCCTCACCGGTAAAGGGGCCAGGAAGCCCCGCTGACCACCTGGAGCAGTGGCCGGGCCTGCCGGCTCCTTTGCAGTGTCTTCCTGTTCTGAGCCCCATGATTCCGCAGTGGAGCTCCCGTGGGAGACACCACATGCTGTCTGTGTGATCATCTCTGACTCCCTCCTGGCTCTAAAGCTCGGGCAGCTGGACTCATGGGAGGGTAGCTCACCCTCCCGTTAGGTAACAGGCCCAATCCCTCCGAGAAAAGGGGAGGGAAAGGTGTCCCTCGCCCAGGGGCCTGCTGGGCCCAGGGTCAGGCCTGCTGAGGATGGTAAAAGGAGAGGCTGGGGCACACACTGGGCAGCTGTAGTGTCAGGGGCCTTGGCCTGGGTCTGGGCTCCTCCAGGGAGCTGTGGCCATTCCCTCTGCCGACTCTCTGACCCTCCGGGGCAGCGGGGTTGTTTCTGTCCTGCAGCTCAGGCCCCTGTGCGGAAGCCCCGAGGCAGGTCAGGGCAGCGAGTCCGCCCCTGTGCGTGGAGCCAGGCTTCTTGTGCCGACAGCGCCCTCCGTGGTCTCCGCCAGCCCCACTGATGAGTGGGTGGGAGGCGGCATGGGGAAAGCTGGCATCCGTTAGCTAACCCGCTCAGCTGCCATGAGGGTGTGACGTAATCCTGGCCTCGGTGGTTGCTAGGGAAATTCTGCCTGCAGCGGCACTGCGTGGTCCTGGGACTGAGCGAGAACAGAATGTCCCCGAGAAGCGGGAGGAATGCAGGGCTTCCCAGCAAAGGAGCCCGATCTGAGCTCCTCTCCAGACCTCCTTCCCCTTGTCAGGGGAGCTGTCAGAGCCCGTCAAGGCAGGGTGGTTACAGCACCTGTCGCTGTGCCCAGTGAACGCCTTTCTGCACCAATGGACCTGTGGGCGGGCCCTCCTTCTGCAGCGCCTGGGGCAGGTGCCCCTCCCCTGTCCACGAGGCAGACGGGTAGGAAGGAGCTCGGCGGGGGGCTGCCAGGGTGAAGGAGAGGGTGCCCTGCGGGGGGGAGCGGCCAGCACCAGGCCTGGGGGCGGAAGCCATTCACAGGCCAGTTCCGCTGCGCGCCTCCCACCCCCGCTCCCCGTCAGTGGCCTTTCTGTCTGCTGCTCCAGTCCTCCTCCCGGGAGAGCTCCTCCAGAGAGAAGTACGTCAGAAAGGCCATGGCGGCCAACTGTTATTCTGAGCGCAACCCAGAGCCGTGCCCCAGAAAGAGGGGAAGCAGGGCTCGGGGAGGGCTGGGGCCAGAGGCAAAAGGAGGCCTAGGTCTGCAGGTCCTCCTCCCAGCAGCTCTGGGCGGGGAGGCAGGTCAGCTCTGCAAGCGCTTTCCCTCCCTCCCCTGCCTTTTCTGGCTGCATGTCAGGGCCCGTCTTATGGAAAACAAGACAAAGGAAGTGATTTCATGAGTGCCTGGGCCAGATCCTCCAATCCATGATTAAAAACTGAGCAATAAAGATTATGGCCATTATCTGTCGCCTGTGAGCCAGGCCGCCTGGTCCTTGGAACAGGTGTTGAGTTTGGGCAGAGGTCTGGCTCCTAGAAATCACAACAAGCGAGGTCTCCAAAGGGGTCCAGACGGGTCTCAGGAGGAAAAAGGGCGGTTCCGAGGGCCTGACTCTGGTAACTGGAGCGAGGGGCGCGCGCAGAGCCTTCTCCAGCAGCAGCGCTGGGTTCTCACGCTCACCTCCTGGCTGTGCAGCCTTCCGCAAGCCTGAGCCTCACCCCACCCGCCCTCAGCCCGCAGTCCCCAGCCCCGCAGCCGGCCGCAGGCATATCCCGGGCCAGGCTGGCCAGGCTGCAGGGGAGCCTGCGGGAGGTGGGCTTCCGGGAAGAGCTTTGTGCTCAGAAAGCACTCCCTCGGGCCGCACCCGAGGGCCACAGCCTCCTGCCTCGTCCCGGTGCCAGGGCCCCTCCAGCAAGCCCCTCCTGCTCGCCTGCAGGTGCAGAGGACGTGGTGATGGCGTTTTCCAGGTCGGAGACAGAGGACCGGAGGCAGTAGCTGCGGATCCCAGGGAACATCCTGAAAGCTGGCATCGGCCAAGAGATCTGTGTGACCTCGTCTGGCTGAGTGGCAGCGGGTCCCCTTCCCCATCCCCCACTACACCCCTCTACTCCCTCCCCCACCTCACCCCACCCACTCCGCCCCACCCCGCCCCAGGCCACTCAGCAGGGCTGGCATCGAGGGAAACGCCGCTGGTGCAGTTATGATTGGCTTCAAGGGACGGACTCATGATTGGCTTCAGGAAGAAACCTTTTTATTTTTAAATCTTGACCAACGGAAACCTTTTATTTTTATTTCTGACTCTTATTTTTTTAAATTTGCGCCTCTGGTACATGGCTTCCCGGGAAGCTGTCCGAGCTCTGGTGCTTTCTTTATTTAGGTCACTTTTTAGGAACGAGAAGAGGTCCGATTGGCTGCTCAGACTGGAAAAGGATTTTGATTGGCTGGCTAACGGGAAACGATTTTTATTCTTGAATGGCTGCAGGTATTCTGCTGAAAGCAACGGCTTCTCTCTTGAATGCTGAATACAGGGTTTGGGACGTTGGTTGTTATATTTGACTTGAAAAAAAAAAAAGAAAGAAACCAAATGCGCTTTGCAATATTTATTACACAGCTGGCTGCTCTCACGTGTTTTGTTTGTGTTTGCATTCGATCGTGTGTTTCCCATTGGCTCCCCCATGACTCCTGCTGCTCTGCTCCCCATCCCCCACCCCCTCTGCTGCTCGCAGTCCCACTGCAGCCCGGGGCACCTGGACCTGACTCCACACCTGACTCCACCAGTGACCACACCTGACTCCACCAGTGACCACACCTGACTCCACCAGTAAGGGGCCTCAGGGACCCCAAGCAGCATCCGCAGCTGGAGAGTGGGGCCCCCAAGGAGGTTTGTGTCCTGGGGGAGCAGCGGGAGCCGAGCGGTGACCGGCCATGAGCCGGGATTTACGCCCATCACTTTGGGCTGGCAGCCGGCCAGCTTCCCGGACAGGAAGGGAAGCCCGCTTTGCTGGCCCCGCCTGACCGAGCTGAGCAGAGGCGCCCCGGCAGCTCTGTCACATCCATTCTCCGGGTCTTTTCCTGAGGCCTCATCTGGGGTCCTCCTGGAAACGGCAGGAGCTGCTCCCCCCGCCGTGAGACCCACAGGGTCTGCCCAGGAGCCCGGAACCCGCCCACAGACCCAGCATGACTCAAGCCTGCGAGTCCTTTGCCTCCAGTCACCCGCCCCTGACCGCCCCCAGCCTGGCTCCCGCGGTGTCTGCTGCTGGGACCTCCCCTCCCGGCCAGCACGCCCACGCCTGTGCCTCTGCACACCTCCTTCCCAAAAGTCCCCCCGTCAGCCTGGAAGGGCAGCGCCTTTTATTTTTATTTATTTATTTTTAAAATATATTTTATTGATTTTTTACAGAGAGGAAGAGAGAGGAATAGAGACTTAGAAACATCGATCAGCTGCCTCTTGCACACCCCCCACTGGGGATGTGCCCACAACCAAGGTACATGCCCTTGACTGGAATCGAACCTGGGACCTTTCAGTCTGCAGGCCGACGCTCTATCCACTGAGCCAAACCGGTTTCTGCGGCAAATGAGCAAGGCCCACAGGCTGGTCCTCAGCCCCGGCCCAGAGCCCGGTCTCTGAATGGCTGTGGGCACCCAAGTCCTCCCCCCTGTCCTCCCCCCCTTCGCTCACAGGATGCCCCTGGGGAGGTGTGGGAGATGCAGGCCCAGGGAGGGGAACTCCCCCCCTTGCCCCGGAGCGGGAGCCAGAGAACATTCAGCCACATTCCCCTTAGGGCTTGGGCCTGCCATGGAACACAGGGGCCGAAGGTTAGCGTGTCCTAGGCCTGAGCCTGGGAGAGCCCTACCGTGCAGGGGTGGGGAGTGTATCCGGGGAGGGGGGAGGGTCTCAGTGCTGATCTTGCCCCAGAAGCAGGACTTGGGTGTCATGGCCTAAACACTGTGTCCTCCTCCACGCACGGGCCCCTGGCCCTGGTTCGCGGACCATTAACTGCAAAGGCCGTTGATTCCAGGGGCAAGGACTGTGGGGACCCCATCAGGGGCCTCAGAGCATCTCCCCCCAGGGGGAGGACACAAGCACATGAGCACACACAAGCACACACGCTCTCTGCCGGGTCCGCAGCTTCAGCGGGGCCCTGGGGAAGGTGAGTCTTCAGCCCCGTCGTCAGGCGCAGGTGCCCGTGCGGCTGGCCGCGCGCCCTTTGTACCTGCCGCTCCCAGGAAGGGCCCATGTCCTGGCCCATGATGTGTCTCCGCCCCAGCCTGTCCGTGTCAAGGTCATGGGCCTCCCTCTTGTAACAGTGATTGCCCTGATCTGTTATCTCCTGAAGAAGAAAAGGGGAAGTGTTGCCGTGGCTCCTTATTTCAACTGAAAGCATACCTGTCGGAGAAAAAAAGTGAGCAATAAAGAAGTTTAATGCCTTGGTGTGTGGGCCGAGCTATCCTCCCTTGGAGTGGGTGCTTTTGCTGCCTTCCACGCCTCACATGGGCTGTGCCGCTGGAAACACGGGTTCTCCAGTTGTGTTGTCTGTGGCCTGGAGTGGGGTTCGGGGTTTGGAAGAGGTTCCAGGTCTACCCCGCCCGGCTGACAGCGCTGTGGGAAGGCTGAGACCCTGTTTCCACCTGGAGATTCTAAATACCGTCCCGGATTAGAGCAAGGTCAGTCAGCTCCAGCGGTGACCTCACCGTCCCAGCTGGGGAGCAGACTCTGAGCATCCCCTGAGGGTGGAACCTGCCATTCCAGACACTCCCGTGGTTCTCAGAATCTGTGACCGGAGCCCAAACAGCACACCCGCCCCTCGCATCATCCCAGAGACGGAAGATTCGCTGAGCTCAGGTGTGATGCGGGTTTGGAAGCTGACATCACTTCTGCTTCAGGAGTTTTTGCTTTGGCAGCATGTTCTAGGATTTTTTATTTCTACTTTTTTTTCCCTAATTACATAGACTTTCTATTCCCTTTTCAAAGAGGGTCACCGGGTGCTCCATGCCCTGGGGTTTATGGGAAATGGTGGCAGGTGCACAACGCCATCATTGAACCTTACGCTGAGGAGGACGGGGTTGTCCGCAGCCTGTCTGAAAGGGCCTGCCCACCCGGGGACTCACTCCCTCAGGCGTCCATCCTTAAGTTTCTCTGGAACTTCCTTTCTTAGGAAGAAGCTTAGTTGTGGAAAGGAAGACAGCTATGTTAGCCAGAAACGACATAGACTCTATGTCATAGAGCCGCATGGCAAGGGCTCACATGAAGTGGAAACTCCCCCGCCTCCACACCAGTGTTCTCTTTTTAAAATAGTTCTATTGGTTTCATAGAGAAAGGGAGAGGAATAGAGAGATAGAAGCATCAATGATAGAGGAACGTCATGGATCAGCTGTCTCCTGCACGCCCCCTTCTGGGGATCGAGCCCGCAACCTGGGCATGTGCCTTGGCAGGAATTGAACCCGGGACCCTTCAGTTCACAGGGTGATGCTCCACCCACTGGGCCACACTGGCCAGGGCCACCCCAGTGTTGTGAGTGGCACTGTTGGTAGCTAACCTTGGAGTTAATGGCTCTCCTAATGTGGGCCGCTGAGCAGAGAAGGTGGGGCTGGCTGGCCCCGTCCCACCTGCCCAGCCCCCTGGGACTGGCCTGAGGGATGAGACCTTCGAGCTGTCAAACTCCCTGGCCTCAGGGGAATCAGATCACTCATTCAGCAGAGATGGAAGGGTGGGGGAGGGGAGAGGGGGGAGGAGGAGAGGGGGAGGAGGAGAGGGAGGAGGAGAGGGGGGGAGGGGAGAGGGGGGAGGGGGAGGGGGAGAGGGGGAGGAGGAGAGGAGAGGAGAGAGTGGGGAGGAGGGGAGGGGAGAGGGGGGAGGGGAGAGGGGGGAGGAGGGGAGGGGAGAGGGGGGAGGAGAGGGGGAGGAGGAGAGGGGAGACGGGGGAGGGAGGGGGAGGGGAGGGGGAGGGGAGGGGGAGGGGAGAGGGGGGAGGTAGTGCTGGGTCTTCCTGGGCCCCTCAGCCTATGCAGTTGGCACCCTGGGCCCACCTTCCTGGGTGGAGGTGCATGGCCAGCGATGGTGCCCCTGCAGGACTGGGACTGCTGAGGGGGCCAGGCAGAGCTGGGGAGGCCGGGACAGGCTGAGAACGGGGGCAGGTGTTCCCCAGCCCCAGGGCGGAGGGAGGTGGAGGAAGAATGAAGCACTTCATCTCCCCGTTCCCAGGTGAGTAGCCGCTGTGAGAATCCGGCTGAACGGCCAGGGCCCTTTGTGGCAGCGAAAACGATCCCTCCGGCCCCTGACTCCGCGGTGGGGGCCGGAGCCGGCTTCCGAGCCCCGCAGGAGCTCCGTGGGCCCAGGGGGCCCGCCACCACCCACTGTCCCGGCTCCCGGCCGTCCTCCCTCCTCTCCCCAGCCCTCCGCTGTGGCTCCTGCCACCCGCCCTCCTCCTCCCTGGGCGGGAAGTGGGCCAGACTGGCCCTGAGGCCTCCGTCCGGAGGAGCGTTCTCCTCTGGGGAGACAGCTGGTGCTTAGGGAGTATGGGGGGGTGGGGGGCAATGGCTGCGGCCCTCATTTAACAAAGGCCTCCTCACCCACACCCTCACCCACCCTCACCCACACTCACCCACACTCACCCACACTCACCCACACCCTCACCCACTCTCACCCACCCTCACCCACACCCTCACCCACACCCTCACTCCACACCCTCACCCACCCTCACCCACTCTCACCCACATTCACCCACACCCTCACCCACACTCACCCACACTCACCCACACCCTCACCCCACACCCTCACCCACACTCACCCACACCCTCACCCACACCCTCACCCACACTCACCCACACCCTCACCCACTCTCACCCACATTCACCCACACTCACCCACACTCACCCACACCCTCACCCACTCTCACCCACACCCTCACCCACTCTCACCTACACTCACCCACACGCTCACCCACACCCTCACCCACCCTCACCCACACTCACCCACACCCTCACCCACACCCTCACCCACTCTCACCCACACCCTCACCCACTCTCACCTACACTCACCTACACCCTCACGGGTGGTTCAGGGACGGTTTCAGCCTGCGGGCAGGGAGGCCAGGAGAGTGGGCTGCTGCTGGGAGCTGAGCCCCACCCGCAGGCCCCTCACCGAAGCCCAGGGAAGCAGCAGAGGGTGCCCAGGTGGCTCTGTTTGCACACCTGTGGGAGCCCCCACCCCCTGCACAGCCCCAGGGGTGACTTCAGACTCAGCCTCTGAGAGTCCCGCCTCCTGGCCCATGGCCTTGGCCCTGGCAGGAGGTGGGCTTTCACCAGCGTCATTTATTTATGTATTCACTGGAGGCCGGCCGGCCGGGAGAGGGGCGGTGGGCAGCTGGCTGGCCAGCCCTCCCGCCATGGAACTAAATGTTGAGGGGACAATTTGCATATTAGCCTTTTATTATATAGGAGGATTATTTACAAATTGTCACCTGAGGTTATGTATTTTTTAAAATTGATTTTAGAGAGAGCAGAAAGGAGAGAGAAAAAAATCAATGTAAGAGAAACATCATTGATTGGCTGCCTCCTGCACACCCAACCCTGGGCATGTGCCCTGACCAGGAATCGAACCAGTGACCTCTTGGTTCCTGGGTCAAAGCTCAACCCCTGAGCCACATCGGCTGGGCCACAGACATCCTTTATGCAGGGGGCTCCGTGTCCCGGTCTGGGCGCTGCCTGTGTGCAGGAGCCTAGCACTTCGTACTCTCCCTCTGCAGTCACGTGTGAGGGAAGCTTGTGGTTTTCCAGAAGAGAAAACGGGGTTCCATCGTTTGCCAGAGGTCAGTGTGGTGCAGCCGGAACTTGAGCCCAGGCCCTCTGCCCCACCTCCAGCTTTGGCAGAAGGGAGTGGGCGGGCCTGAGGGGGGAATCCTGGGTCGCGGGCTGCCCAGCAC